TTCAAGATCATCAAACAAATTGGTGATAATGCCTTTCAACTTGAATTACCACCATACATGCATATGTACTCGGTCATCAATGCCGAGAATCTTAAGCTTTTTGAGCCATCTCTACTTGATGATGATCCCGACGAAGACATTCGGCTTCCATCAGTTGATGACTTAAAAATTGAACTAGAAGACCCTTTGCTGAAGGATTGTATCTTGGAGCAGAAGGTTCGTGAGACCCGACATGGAAAGTATGAGTATTTTCGTATTGGCAGTAAAGGGCAACTTCCCAGCAAATCGAAATGGTATATTCGAGACAAGGCTACTCAAGAATTTCCACATCTCACCATTTAACTTGAGCAGGAGCTCAAGGTCTTAAATGGGAGAGCCATGATCCAGGTGGATCTTTTCAAGATAATTAAATAATAAATATTAATTAAATTAAATAATTTATCAACCATTCGACTCGAATGGTTTAAGAAGAAATGGTTCTGAACCATTTAAAAATTAATGGTTTGAATTACCTAAAGAATTTAAACCATTTAACATTTGTGGTTTAAATTCATTTATTATTTTTAGTTTTCTATTCTAGGCATTCAGGCTTGTATATAAACCATTGTAGTTGAATGAATTAAGACAGGCAGAACTCAAAGCAGTTCCTTAGCTTCTTCCTTTTGTTTCTCTAAATCGTCTTAAAATTCCTCTCGTTCCCTTATTCCTATAAACTAGGAATTCATAGTTCTATCGACTAGAAGTTTTGGATCAGAACCCAACGAAAATCAACAAAGAAACCCTAAGCACATAATTAGGGAATTAAATTTGACAAATATAATGAAGGTAATTGGTTTTGTAAATAACTTTTCTTTGGGCCACAAATGACGATCTCTAACTCGAACTACAAGTGGAGAACTAATCCATATGAATGTATTCAATTGGGATTTAAAAAGACTATTTAGGAATAGAAAAAGTCTAGTGAATTCAATTGGTAATCTCACCTAAACTGCTTAATTCTAAAGTTAATTCCAATTAATGCATAATCCCATGTTGCAACTTGCGTGCCATTTGTTAATCTCTTTTTTTTTTTTTTTTGGTCAAGACCACTTGTTAATCTCAAGTTGCAACTTGCATGCCTAAACCCAAGTAGCAACTTGCATGCCTAATCTCACCTATAATTGTCGTTTGTTAAAAGCTGAAATTGTGAGTTGGTTATATACATTGCTTGCAACTTCCATCTTTCGAATTCCCTCGTTCATGATGGATTAGCAATTCCTAACATCCTTATCCTAGCCAAAGCTTGGATTCTTCTTTCGAATTCCCTTGCTCATTTGCCACCGTTCTATCATTTGTCTACCTATAATTATGTCTACACAAGATTTTATCCTCTCTTTTTTCTCGTTGTTGAGTAATTATTGTGTGGTACTGAATACGATATTATGTGAATAACTAATCCACGCATATGAGTGAATGTTTCCTCATTCTAATAGTCAAAAATATCAATCACGTCATGGACAATAGTTAATTAATTACTTACAAATGTGTTTGATATCATCTTCTATCTTAGAATCTTCTCAGTCATTGAATTGATCACTTTTTTACTATTTATTTTCACATTAAATAAAATCAACCAAGTTTTGATATATATATATATATATATATATATATATTTTGGAATATATTGTAAGAAATATCTTGCTAGCTCATTACTCTCTCTCTCCTACACAAGTTGCTAACTCATAGAGCAAAATTCAGTTCTGCTGATTTATATTCCACTAAACCATCATGACATTATTATTTCAGACAACACAGGTTTTTTGTCGACTCATGATTTTCCAAGAAAACTTCACCAAATTGACGACTTCCGATACTTCGTGATAGATGACAGTCGATAAGATACTTTGTGTTGTGATAGATGACAGTCAATAAGAAAACGATCGTAACCCTAACCCACATAAGACAAAGTGCTATGGGACAACTTGCTGTACTATTTAAAAGCCAAATCTGTTGGCCTTATCGACCCTTTCTCTAATAAGCCGCTAAAATTATAAAGAGAGTGCATATTCACAAGATGAAATGGTTGTAATATACAAGCCCTTTTTTTGTCTAATTCTCCAGATATATGTAGCTGGATATAGCTGTTTCAGCTTAGCATCTTTGCTTCAAGGATGATGGCTAATCAATACATTCTCCGCTAATCATACATTCTCCTCAAGAGAAAATATCAACGAAAAGGAGACTAAAAAATGGTTTAGTAAAATATATTTTTTTACACAAACGATATCAAAAAAGAAAGAAGCGAACTTAGAATCTCGGGTGGAGTGATAAATACCATAAATATAATCTTTTTATTATTATAAAGAAGATAGAAAAAACAAAAACAAAAAGTCCTGATCAGCGGGACATGACGTGTGACAGTAACTAACAGGGTTCAGTTAGAGATGGCATACATTAGAGATGGCATACATTGGGCACCGTACTCTTGGAACTATAGGATGGACTAAACAACAAACCTGCCTTGAAGTGGCACCGTCCATCCAAAAACAACCAAAGTAAAACCCATAGTTCTAATATCTTAAATTACAGAGGTCCAAGAGATTTGTGGTCACTTAAGAACTTATTTTAGATGTGGGGTTTATATCTATATATATATATATATATATATAAAGTAAAAGGAAGACAATGGTGAAACATTCAAAATACTAGAAAATATCATTAGTTAATACAAACATTAAGAATTGAAATTATTAATTAAATGAGAATAAAATGATAAATTCACATTTTTTCAAATTTGAAAAAATTAAAATTAAAAGAAAAATAAGATAAAGGATTCTATTTTTATGGAACACAATTACCCATTATCTTTTTTAATTCTAAAATAAATTTAAAATGAAAAAAAAATCTTATTGCATGCGCTTCCGCGTGTGCAGAGAGGCTAGTATATATAAAGCAAAATATAGAGAATAGTGAAATATTCAAAATATCAAAAAATACCCTTGGTTAATTCAAACATTAAGAATTGAAATTATTAATTAAATGAGGATAATATGGTAAATTCACATTTTTTCATATTAAAACAAAATTAGATAATAGGTCATATTTTTATGGAACACAACTACCCATTATTATTTCTTAATTCCAAAATAAATTTAAATTTTTTCAAAAAAAAACCTCTCGTAAGAGCGGAAGCGCGTGCAGTGAGGTTAGTAAATGTGAATATCCTAAGTTCAATTATTTGGCATTGAAAGCATGTGTTATATAATCTTATGAAATATATTGATTGGTCATTTTACACATCACAATCTGTCAAGTATATTGCATGATGGAGCATGCAAATACAAATTTTGTATTGGTGGTCGCTAAAAACTATTCTTTTGCTTAAAAGTTGATGTTGTCTTTGACTTCCTTTAAGACTTTAGGTCACAATTTTGTGGAAGGACATTTGATTTGATATAGGACTCGCTAATATTCAGCCGATTCCGTGGAGCATTTTGTTGCAAGCAAGTGAATAAATCAAAACCTCATATTTAGCCTTCTTTGTCTTATTGTCAAGTTGCAATTTAGTCCTTTTACTTTGGTTCTACCTCGTACTGGTTATTGAAGAATAAATCTACGTCGTACATGTCTCCTCCCAAGGAAAGGGAGGAGAGGAGGAGAGGAGGAGGAGCCTCCTCCCCTTAGAAGGTAAAATACAGAGACAAAGAAGTGGAAAAGGTGTACAAGAATTACTCATCCAAAGTATTTTACGCAAGAATTATGAGGTTATTAGTCAACATGCAAGCAACCAAAATGCAACCAATCGAATAAAAAAAAACTTTAAGCATTTATATGCCCGCAGTGCATGTCATAGTACTGCTTTCAACTTCACACTATTTTATAAGAAAAAGCAAATAACAATAATATTGACGCCAAGGACTCTCTCTATAGCAAGGACAGACACACGCCAGCGTCAGGGTTTCAACTGCACGTCGTCATCTTCTCTCCAACCCTCGTCTGCCTAAGAAACCTTAGAGGGTGATAGTGTAAATAACTATTTAAATTTTTCACTATTTTTATCATCTCGATATTATTGATATTATAGTGATATTATATAGATATTTTAACCAAATGTTGTTAAAGTGTGAGAGAAATTATCAACATCGATATTTTTTAATATTATCGATATTTATATGATATGTATATGGATATGTTTCAAATTGTCAGCTTAATGCGAATGTAAGAACACTTATATCCATTTGTCATGGCAAAGAGTAATGGGAGGCAAGGGCTATTATTATTCACATAAATAGTATCAGTCCTTACAAAAGGCAAAGTGTGTTTTCACTTATTATCATGGCATATGGTAATTACTATTCACTTTAAATTATTTTTATTTTTTATACATAAACGATTATTTTTTTATATAGGATTTAGAGTTTTGGTGTGAGAAGAAAAAAATATGATTAGGTATTTATAAATAAAAAATTCTAATTTTTTTCTTTTTAAATTTTTTATTGTTTTAATTGGCCCCACCCTGAGTTGGTGGGCCCCACGCCTTACCCAGGCTTGCCCCTGCATGCTAGAACCGTCACGCAGGCCTAGGCCCTTTCCTGCCCGGGCTTCCCCTTGCCGCTGGAAGTGCTCAAAGATGTAGACAAGAGCCTCTTCGCCAAATAAAAAATTAAGAATTCGTACATTTGAGTATTTACTGCAACGGAGATACCATTTAGTTACACTTCAATTTTCTGTTTCTCTGTTTTTTTTTCCTATAAAAACCCAAGCGCTTCTCTTCCCTCTCTCTCAAAACCCCATTTGCCATTTTCTGAAGAAACAACTTGCTCTTCTTTCGATAATCTTCTCTCTCTTTTCTTTTTCAGTCCAGTTTTTGGTTCTCCAAGTGCTTCCTCTTCTTTTCTTTCTTTCCTTTCAAGATTTGGTGTGAAAGAGATCGGAAAACAATGCATATTCTCAAGGTCTTCTTTGGAGTCGTTGGTGAGTTTTCTCAACTGGGTTTCTTTCATATAAATTCTTTTTGAGGTATGTTTGTCTAGTTGCTCTGTTTATGGTTTCCTCTTCTTTTCTACAGGAAATGCCACTGCTCTGTTCCTCTTCTTGGCTCCCATGTATCTATCTCTCTCTCTCTCTCTCTCTCTCTCTCTCTCTCTCTCTCTCTCTCTCAAATGGAGTTGCTTTTTGGGTCTAAAGATCATTTCTTTAGATGGGTTTTCCGTACAATCTGCATAGTTCAAAAAGCTTGAATTTTTACTGTGTTCCTTGAATTTCTCTGGAATTTATGGAGTGATTTTGGTTTTATAATAGCATCACATTCAAGAGGATCATACAGAAGAGAAGCACAGAGCAGTTCTCAGGCATTCCGTACGTCATGACTTTGCTCAACTGCCTTCTCTCCGCTTGGTATAATTCTTCTCGCTCCTTCAACCGCTTTCTATAAATTTTTCTCTCTTTCAATTTCTTTCTTCACCTTTTTACCCCTCACTTTGCGGCTTAATCACAATGGTTCTGTCTCCTCGTTACTAACATGGGATTAAATGACACTTTTGCCCCTGTTTCTGCTCTGTTTTTTTCAGTGTTCCTATTGTTTTTGGTTTGATCTTTCTTTCATTTGCCTTCATCTTCTTGGAATCGATCAAATGTTGGTTCTTGGAATTAATTTTGTTCAATAAAACTAACTAATGCTTGATCTGCATGATATTAATAAATAAAAAATAGGTATGGCCTGCCCTTTGTGTCCCCAAACAACATCTTGGTTTCAACCATCAATGGTACTGGTGCAGCCATTGAAGCAATATATGTGTTGATCTTCATCATATTTGCCCCCAAGAGAGAGAAGTTCAAGATTCTTGGCCTCTTCACGTTTGTGCTTGCTCTCTTCTCCACTGTTGCTTTGGTCTCAGTCTTTGCTCTGCACAGCAAGGCCAGGAAGCTCTTCTGTGGGCTTGCGGCCACCGTATTCTCAATCATAATGTATGGCTCACCTCTCGCAATTATGGTGAGTTAAATATTTATAATTAAGGGTTAATGCAGTGGGTTGAGATTAATTATTGTGTTAATGATGTGTTTAAAAATGTGTTTGCAGAGCACAGTGATCAAAACCAAGAGTGTGGAATTTATGCCTTTTTTTTTGTCACTTTTCTCCTTCTTATGTGGCACTTCATGGTTCATCTTTGGCCTACTTGGCCATGACCCTTTTGTTGCTGTAAGTACTTTCTCAATTGACTAAAACCAAAATTAAGATGTGATTAAATTGAAATTAATAGTTAAATAATCTGATGTGTGGAGAAATGTTATGGTGTGTGCAGGTGCCAAATGGATTTGGAAGCGGCCTAGGGGCACTGCAGCTGGTCTTGTACTTCATCTACCGTGACCTTGACAGCAAGGGAAGCACAGGCAGTATCAAGAAGCCCAGTTCTAGTAGTACTGCTGCTACTGCTGATGAATCAATGGAGATGGGCTTTGCAGAGCCCCACCAATCAAAGCAATCAATTGCCATCAGTGGTGCTCAAGATGGGCAGCCCTAGACGCCCTCTGTCTGCTTCCTTCACTTAGGTTAATGCCAAGTGTGGCATGATCGCAAACTGCAATTTTTAATTTCTTGTTTTGAAGTCTTGTTGTAGCTCCAATTCCAGCTAATGTGTAATGTGAACCCCCACTCTATTTAGATTACTCAAATGTTGAAATTTTCATTTCTGGTCTTGCATATATAAAGGCTGCTTTTTATGAGTGACCAAGTACATTTCTTGTAGATTATTTCTCTCTTTTTACCTGGATTTGTTCTTGTGGATTAATTGCACTAGGTCTTATGCACTTCACTAATGTGTCTTTTCCATTGGATATGTAGGGGGATTCAGTAGTCTTATCTAATGTACCGCATTAATTGACTACTTCAATCACCGAACAATTAATATATACTTCCAACAATAATATCTTAGAGTGACTCCAATTCAAGGTCACTCTCATTCACGCTTATTCCAACTCATATTCATCCTGATTATGAATTAGTAAACATCACATAAGAGCGCGATGTCGCGTAGAGCCCCCGGTACACTGAAACTTCTACTCTCTTAGAGGGGTCAGTAACCTTCGCTCCAAAGCATAGCCCTTGGACATTAATTGTGAGCAGTGGGATTGCCGTGGAGATGTGTTATGGTCCAAAGATAGGAGAGTGACTCCAATGTATGCATGCTCTGTTGTAGTTGTCTAAGGCTTTGCATCCTACTAACGATGACATGGCCGATCGAATTAGAGAGAGACGGAAATTACAAAACGAATGATTGGATGGATGCAGGTGCTTGATTTTGTTGGATTATTATTAGTGCATTGCGTGAGCTTATTTCTTGGCAGAGAAAACTTGTCGTTTCCATTTGGAACACGTATAGCGGTAACGTCGTAGACAGAGACAGGAGTTCACATTACGGACGGACGGTGGATTGCGCAATGCAGTCGTGTCATGGTCCAAACTCTAGAGTGCATGTGAACATTCAGCATAATGAGACAAACTCACATCTCAATTTCATCACCCGTCTTGTCTTCTTTTTATTTCCTCAAGTTATTTTAGAATAATTATTTCATAATTGTAAGCATGTGAAGAAATGTTATACATTGGAAAGTTTAGAAATTTTGCAAGAATTTATAACGAGTTGAGTTACTTCCCCATTACTAATGAGTCAAATTTGACATGTAATATCAACTTTTTAACATGCTATCAAAGCTAGATTTCTATACGTGTAAAACCAAAGGTCTTATACAAAACCGGAGGGATCAAAATTACAAACCAAAAGGTCAAATGGAAAGCGATTAATATGACTTGCAGAAAAATTTAGTTGGGCTTGGCAGAACAGTCTTTTCCCTAGATATTTAGTTATATACCTATTCTTAGTACTAGTGATATAGATAAACCCTACACTATTTAATTTATATAAACAAACCCAAAACAAGGACAGCTGGTTCTATTAAATTTAATTTTGATTATTAAATTATTTTAATGCCCTTTTGAGTGTTTTTGGTTTTTTTATATTATGTTTTGGGATTGGGCTTGTTTTAAGAAATCGATGGCAATTTTGTAATTTATAGGAAACTCGAAGCTTCTTTGTTATGTTGAAATAGGCTTTGGGTGTATTTCTAAAGTCCATTTCATGTAGTTTTTTTTTAATTTTTTTTAATTTTTTTTAATTTTTTATAATTTTTTATAATTTGGGCTCCCATATTGAGTATAATAGTGAATCTCCCTATAATATAATGCAACCATAATGGACTAAATGTCTTCAAGGCCTACATATTCAAAATCTAACTCTAGGTTCTTGTTTTGGATATAATACAACAACATCACTTGTTAATTTGGGGACTCGGTGGAATGTGTTAGAGTTTGTATAGAAAAAAGCTTACACACATGATTTATAAGTATCAATGCACTTGGCACACTAAAAACTGTGAGGTCAACCTGAACAAAACCGCAACATTGGGACATAATTTGACAAGCACTATGGAGCCTAAGTAAGGTAAGTCTTAATGTGAATCCATGTTAAGCCTAAGACTGCATTTTAGCTCAGGTAGACTTATGTTAGCTAGGTCAAGCTACATGATATACGTATCTTTTTTTTTTTTTTTCCTTTGGATGCTACCTTAGATGATAAAAGTTTGGGACCTATCTAAGCGTGAAAGAGCATAGCCATACAAGCACTTTGTACGATTCTCCCCTCCCTACACTTCTTATGCACCCTAATATCGGAAAGGTGTTTAGTGCATGTGATTGTGTTTAGGAGGGATCTAATCCTGATATCTATAGGTGGGAGTATTACGGTTTTTAACTGACAAAGAAACAATAAGTAAATTTAGGTTTTAGCCATAAAAAAACTTTCACTTTTGGAAAAAGCTAAAGCTTTTTCAAAAAGGACGGAAAAACCTCTCAACTTTCAAATCAAAGACATGCAAATGTAAATGATTCCTTAGGAAATCTAAAAATAAATAATGGCAATTTTGTCCATTTTGGCTTCTTTTAAAAAATTTCTCTCTCCTTTTGCTTTTTCCAAAGTCTCCCGAAACAATAATAGGTATCCTTATCTCCCCATCAACCAACCGAAAGACCAAATAAACTTTCGTATTAATTCTTTTATCCTTAATCAATTAGGATATTTAAACAAATGCAAGCCCAAAATTAAGTTTTACACACTCAAATGAATACCTATGACAACCAAATTTAAAATACTGAAGCAAAAGCACTAATATAAAAAATCTACGGGTATGGATATTGGTGTCCATAAAAGGTGTTTGTATTGTCCCTTTTGGTGTAGACACAAATGTCAATACAAGTCCTTTTTTGAACACCGATATCCAATGCCCATTGATTTTTTATTTTTTTTATTTTTATTTTTCAGTAGTGAAGTCTCTTAACCTTTGGTTGAGAAAACTAGTTATCAAAGAAGGCAATTGTCTTTTTCAACTTTTCCATTACATATTAAGTGAAGCACCTAGCCAATTACCATAATATCATTGTTCAAAATTACTCTTTGTATCGAAGATAATGCTCATTTTATAGCGAGTGACCTTAGCTAAAAGCTAGATTAGTCTTGACCATTAGTTTAATTACTTTTAATGCATACCAAAGTATCTCAAAGTTATTTAATCTTCTTTCGAATAAATAATGTATCCTAATTAATTAATAATAAAGTCAAATAACTGAAGAGCTTTTTAATGGAAACAATGAATTGTGGGTACGTAGAGCCATGGAAATGATAGTTAAGGGGAGAATTGTGGTCACTAGGATGATTATAATGATTTTTACAGTGTGTATTATTATATCAGTATCATTTGCGTTTGAAGCTAATAACCATGATCCTCTGCATTTCTCTCAAAATCAACCCAATATTCTCTCTAGTGAAGACTTTAAACTCATAAATGTTATCCCTAAGACGATCATAAATATCCTTAAGACTGTCACATATGTTATCCCTAAGACTGTCACAAATGTTATCCCTAAAACAGTTATGAATGTTGTCCCTAAACCCGCGATAAATGTTGGCAGTGAAATTTTCCACAAGATGAAGGAAGTAGCTGGGTTAGGTTCCAGCCAAGAAAATAAAGTTGAATTTGGTAAAGATTCGCTAAGTTAAAACAATCTTTTAGAGCATGGTTTGGAAGATTTACTAAGGTCATGAAGAATTTTGGATACACTCAAAGTAATTCATACCACACTCTGTTCTTGAAGCGTGATGGAGAAAAAATCACTGCATTAATTGTTTATGTGGATGACATGGTCGTAAGTGGGGAACAACGTAGGAGAGCAATAGAAGCTGCAAAAGCATTTGTCTCAGGAATTTGAGATGAAGGATTTAGGTGCTCTGAAATATTTCTACGAAATTGAAGTAGCAAAGTCAAAAACTGGTATTTTTCTGTCTCAAATAAAGTATGTGATGGATCTACTCACTGAAACATGAATGCTATAGGATGTAAGTTTGCTGACACACCTATTGAGATGAATCATAAGTTGTGTGAAGACATGGACCATTTGCCAACCAATAAGGAACAATACCAGCGCTTTGTTGGAAGGTTGATATATTTGTCACATACAATACCAGGTATTGCATATGTTGTGAGTGTGGTTAGTCAATTTATGCAGTTATCGAATGTTAAGATACTTAAAGTCAACCCCTGAAAAGGGATTAATGTTCTCAAAGAATGGAAATCTTGAACTTGTTGGATATACAGATGTTGATTGAGCTAGTTCCATTATAGATAGACGCTCTACATTGGGTTACTTTACATTCGTTGAAGGTAACCCAGTCACTTGGCTAAGTAAAAAACAAAATGTGGTTGCTCAGTCTAGTACAAAAGCAACATATCGAGGTATGGCTCAAGTAGTTTGTGAATTATTGTGGATCAGAGGACTCTTGACAGAATTGGGTTTTAAACTAGAGAAGGCCATGCAATTAAATTGTGATAACAAGTCAGCGATCGATATTGCTCATAATCCAGTTCAACATGAACGAACAAAACATGTTGAGGTGGATATACATTTCATTAAGGAAAAAAATTGAGAACAAGATCATATGCCAACCCTTTGTAAAATCACAAGATCAGTTACTGGATATCTTGATAAAAGTTGTCTGTGGACAAGTGTTTTATGACTCACTTACCAAGTTGAGCATTGGTGACCTGAATGCACTAACTTGAGGAGGAGTGTTAACGTAAGTCAACCTACTAAATCAAGGAGATTTATTTCCTTGTTTCACATAGTTGACATATCCTTGTATAATTATGAGATATTCTCCTAATTAATTCTTGTATCAATTTTCTTGTAAAGTACCGTTGTAAACTCCTATATGTGCCTCATTATCGAGAAGAATATAATTAACCTAAAATATTCAAAACATTTTCATATTTTAGCCAATTGTGTTAGCCACGTGGTGTCATCAATGGCAAAGCCACTCCTAGGCCAGGAGTGGCCCTGACCCCCTAATTTTTTGACCTCTCTCCTAATATATACAACTTATTAATAGACAACTTGTAATTTAAAGAAATGGTCCCTTTAAAAATAATTAGACATGACTAATTTTGAAAAATTTAGTTCTAATATGTGTTTTGAACACTTATATGTATTTGATATACTTATGTTTTCTATCTCGACCCCCCAATCTTACAATTCTAGGTCCACCACTCCTTTGAAAATCACAAAACGTGGCTGCCATGCATGAATGAAGAACGCATAATATCGTGTACAAATGGCTGTCATGCATTGCTGAAGAACACAAATGGCTGCCATGCATGAATGAAAAACGCAGAATATCATGTACAAATGGCTGTCATGCATAGCTGAAGAACACATAGAATCGTTCACAAATGGCTGCCATGCATGAATGAAGAACGCAGAATATCATGTACAAATGGCTGTCATGCATTGCTGAAGAACACATAGAATCGTTCACAAATGGCTGCCATGCAAAGGAGAGGTTACAGAAAGCCTTGGATTAATTTGTAACCGTCACGCAGTAGAGTTCAAAAACACTCAATTGAGATGCTTTGTAACTCCCGCCTTTGAGTGCAGTCTGTGTTTTGTTCGTAAGTCTGTAATGAGCTTTGTCCGTTACACATCTGGAGCTCATTGAGAGAGAGAGAGATCCTCGTTTTTATTTTTTATTTTTTTGGCGACGGGAAGAAAAGGAAAAGCAACCCAACTCCACACTAAATCAGCCATTACGCCTGCAGCATGTTCTTCTTTCTTATTATTTCGGTTGGGGATCAGCATGCTAAGGACTTGCAAATATTTTACGGCTTTTATATATGTAATTTTACAAAATTACAGGCTTTTATATATGCATTTTTTTTTTTCATTTAAATTGCTATGAATAAATATATAATCTCCTTCTATTGAGAATACCTCAAATAATTTTATTTGAAGAACGCCTTATTCTACAAATTTTTTTTCAATTATCCAAACCATCTATGTCTATATTCATAGATCATCCTTGCAAAAAATTAGACAAATAAAAAACCGTTTCGAAATCCAATTGTGTCCTATAAAATCAATAAATACAGTGCTTTAAGAAAGTACTAAAATTTCAATAATATAATTGAGTAGTCAAACGATATTGAATTCAAGTTATTTTTTGTAGAGATGATCTTCGAATGATTGTCTAAAACATAAATGGTTTGAATTAGTGAAATACAATACAGAGTAAGCCCTACAAAGATGTCTCCGAAATAAACTTATTTGTGCAATCTCAATGAAATACAATACAGTCCCCTTCTATTGAGGGATCCCTCAAATAATTTTATTTGAGGGATGCCCTTTAGGGTACCCTACAATTTTTTTTCCAATGATCAAAACCATCTATTTTTTAGGTCTTCATTCATAGATCATCCTTACAAAAAATTAGACAAATCGAAACCGTTTCGACATCCAATTGTGTCCTACAAAATCAATGAACACGGTGCTTCAAGAAAATACTAAAATTTCAATAACTCAATTGCATGGTCAAAAGATATCGGATTCAAGTGATTTTTTGTAGAGATGATCTTTGAATGTGTATCTACAAAATAGACGGTTTGGATTAGTGAAATACAATCCGGAGTGGGCCCTACAAGGGGTGTCCCTCAAATAAGCTTATTTGAGGGATCCCTCAATGGAAACTCTCTATATATATATATATATATATATATGTCTGGGAGAATGTATCTCGTACGGAAAGGTAAGCATTCAAATTTGTAACACTTATTTTATTTATGAATATTACATTTGTGATGCCAAGAAACACTTTTACAAAGGTCTCCTCCTGGCCAGATGTAATACAACATAACCATTTCTATGGATATAGATAGTTACTCTCCCACGCCAACTCTCATTTCTATGGCAGAGCCTTAAGCTAAGGTCGAAGCCTTAACTCATCCTTTATTAGCTGGGTTTGGTTTGATTCAACTCATCCCTTCACCTGTTAAAACAAGAAAGATTACAGAAAAATTAACCAGAAGAAAAGAAAACGTAAAACTAACTAAAGAAGAAGAGGAAAAATATATAAAAAGAGATATTATGTGCATCTCTTGTCGTACCCATGCTTTTAAGGAAGAAGTAGACTTCCAATCAAAGTTACAAAGCCCGCTGCCTTTCCATATGTTATCTATTTTCCTGAGAAAATAGACACACACAGATCATGGCTGAGCTTCTAGGCTGCTGCAGCGAGGAACGGAGGGCATGGCCTCTATTTATAGCGGCTGTAAAGAGAAATGGAGCTCGGCATGGCAGATACGTAGCAATCATGCAGAGGGCCGTGGCAGGAGATTGTTTGAGAAACGTGTGCAGTTCTAAAAGCTTGTAGCAGAGAAACAAGCACAACGGCCTTTAAAAAAAATAAAAATAAAAATAAAAACTTTTATTGAAAATGGAAAGGAATTAGAAGAAACTGGAAGAGGTGGTGGAAGAAGGGACGAAAAAGCAAGTGGGTGCCACTGGCTTTCACGTTTAATTTGCAAGGGTTGTATATTTGATTCTGTCTCCACAGTGTCGCGTAGCGTCTATAAAAATAAATAAAAATAATTAGGTGTAAAAATTAAAAATATGCAATAATCATTAGGACTTGGCTTTTTTTTATAATCAATATTAAATACTATAAATCCCATAAGTAAGGGGTTTGTAATGTAGCTCAAGTAGTTAAGAGTAGGCACTTTTATTTATTAAAAAAAAACCATGAAAAATATGCACACACACAAAAAAAGCTAAAAAGTTGAATAACCGACTTTTTACTGTAGCAAAACAATTAATGTACTTTTAGCTCAATTGATTAAGAGCAATCCCTCCTACACCTAAGACTATGTGTTCGATTTTTCTGCCCCTTAATTTTAACTGCATAAAAAAATATTTTATTTAATACTATAATAGTTATCAAAATATTTATGATTATAGATATGAAACGAGGAATTTTTTGTTATTATGGATTTTTAGAACAAAAAAATGATTATGTCTAGAAATTGATTTTTTTTTTTTTTTTTTAATGTTTCGTATGGTAAATTTTCAAAAAGAGAACATATGAATTCAATTGAAATATAAGAAATTTGAACTCTTAAAACTATTATATGTTAATATAAATTGAAGGCTTTTTATCACAAAACGTCTCTAACGTTTGCGAAACTACTAGATTGCATCCTTAAAGTTTTTTTGTATCACTCATGGTCCCTAACCTTAATATGGGTGCTCTTAAGTAGTTCCTCTGTCAAAAAAACTGTTAAATCCATGGATATAATCGTCAAATCAAATCCCTTTTGACCTCTTCACCATGTTGTGCATAATGACTTGAATGTTAGTTCTAATTATATATGTCGAGTGTAATCCATCATCAACCTATTGCACTCTGGACATGTTTGTAATAAGCAACTTCAAGGAGGAATAGAGATCGAAATATTAGCATCTTTGTTATTGATATTTTTTGTTTGTTGGAAAGAGTAAAAGCTTGGTAAGTTTGGTTTCAAATAATTGCATAGCTAAATCCAGATAGATGCCGGTAGCTACTGTTGATCCTTCCTTGTTAACTAATGGAGGATTGCAGTTAGTTTTCAGTGACGAAATGGTGGAAGTTTTAAGTTATGGTGAAACCGGCAAGAGGTAGCTTTGGATGTATGAGTGGTTTGGATCATATGTGAAGTATTAGGAGGGGGAGGGGTTGAATGGTCGGAGCATCAGCATTCACAGAGGAGAAGACAAGAAGTCAGGGGTAAAAAAGATTTTGAACCTTCTATATCTCAGATGTAAATATGAGCCTCAAATTTCCAGGTACAGCTTTCGCTGCTGTAACGAAGCTGCAATGGGGCAACTTTAACCGATTAGTCTTTGACTCGTGGAAATCAGATTGGTGTAGAGATAGGTAACTAACTACATGGAAGGATTGAAACCCAAAGCTAGGATGCAGAGCCGGGGCTAATTATTTTTGCTTCTTTTTGGTAAATGTTTTGCTTCTAGTCTGCAATAGCTTTATTTCTGTTCGTAGTTCATTCTATCTGGTCATCGTTCACTCCAAATAATTTGGAAAGTGGAAAGATCTTCCCAACCTATGTAACATCCTCTGAGTTCCCAAGTGTGGATTGATTTGGCAGAGAGACTATTTGAGAGCACCCATATTAACGTTAAGGACCATGAGTGATACAAAAAAAACTTTAATGAGGTGCTTTCATTTTCTGATTATGTAGGAATCAGTTTCAAAGAGGCGTTGGGTTTAATGATTATGTGGCAATCATTTTCTGATTATGCAGAAATAAATACAAACAACACTTTTAATAAAAAGTTTACCAAACGCCAAATTGCTTTCTCTCACAGTGATTATTTTCACAACATAGCAATGCCAAACTGGCCCTTAGTTAATTTTACATTTTGATTAAAATATTATGATGTACTTAGATCATAAGGTGTACTCAATTAATTTTAGGGTTTATTTAGTAGCACTCTTTTTCTAAGAGTAGAACATAGGTCAACCTTGTATTAGGGATTTTAAAAAATAAGAAACATATTTGTAAATGCCAAGTATTATACAAACATTATTTTAGTTCATTCTTTGAACCAAAGGAACTTGTGGTTTAAGTGTCATTAGGATTGTGTGCAAATTATATGGATTGTCAATAATCATTTGACATGGTGGACTGGTTAAACCAGCGCTAAAATTGTGTGAGGAGGAGACCGATCCGACCGTCAAAACATTTAAAATATTTAAGTCCCATGATTTCTTTACATTTGTTGATGGTGAGATTTGACCTCCTCAAACAAGCTCCTCACTTTAAGCCCTCATTATAGCCTTTTCGGTTAGAATAGGCCTATCAAATCAAAGGGTGATTTTACAAGGCCAAATAGGCCCATGCCGGCCAGACAAAAACTTAAGGCACCAAGACCAGGTAAGGCTTGGCTTATCCTTTAGCTTGACCCAACCCATTTTACTGGCCTAGTCAAATATATTGCTGTATCTCTGCATTCTTTCTCAGCGTGGGGCCTTGGTTTTTCCAATATGAGATTTTCAAAATGTTTTTGAAATATGCATCCAGCATTGTAAACACTACATCATTCAAGTCGAAGTCAGATTCTTGATTGATTTTTTCACGAACATGATTTTTTAGAAGGGATTGATCTTTTTCATTTCAGAATCTATATTTCACTGTTCTGGTGCCATGAAGTGAAGGAGCTGAAGATGAAGCTGCCACTCACATGAAGAACTAATTGCTAGCTTTGCTGAGCTGGAGAAGAAGGTTGCACACAGAGGTATAGCTATTTCCTATATGTATGACTATATATAGGTCCACTCCAGAATACAAGTTTATATTGTAACCTTCCATTTTTAAGAAATATTAATACCAAGTAGATATGGTTCGTTGAATCAAAGAAAGAAAAGAATCATTGGTATGTTATGTATACTTTTCTTTCCTAAAGAGCTTATGAATTGATGAGCACCGTACTCAACATCCATAGGTACTTCTTTTCACATACTTGCATAGGAATTACATCGAAGCCATCAATTAGCCCCTCTTCCAAAAAAAAAAAATGATAGACTTGTTCCAAGAAAGATGCCTACAATTTTTTTTAAATCCCTCTAAGATCTTGAATCAATATCATATGCCCTCAATTGTTGCATGTGTCAATGTGGTAGTGCTAGAATAATTTTTTAGTACCAAAATAAAAATTGCTTATGTTTACTTACACATACAATTAGTATATTAATGATAGTAAAAGAAAAAAAAATCAATATAAAGAGGAGACGAGACTTTAACGTGGTTCGGCAACGCCTACGTCCACAGAGAGCAAATCAAGAGTATTCTTTTCACTAAAAGCAACCCACAAATATACAAGTTGCTAAGATCAACTAGGACTCCAAAATGGTCTGGAAATATAATAGACATGTGTGACTCTTCATCAAGTTTTAGTCTTGATTTCCTTCTGGCCTTGCCATCCCCTAAATTCGCCATGAAAAATAATATTTATTTTTCGGTTAAATGCCTAAACCTGTTAAATTTTAAGAAAAAAATTAGCACAGGAAATTAAGGTCGATCAAGAAAAACAAAAGATTAAAGAGGGGATATAAATTTTGACGTGCTTACCCAAGCTTCCAATCAAGCTTCAAAGACTGATGGCTCTCTCTCCATGCCTCTATTTCTCTTGAGTAATGGACTTTGAAGTTCAGGGGTTTTGGGCTGGACATGGCCTCTTGCAGATAGGCCCAACAACTCAAAGAACCCATATGCCAAAGTTGTTCGTATGCATCAATGGTATTTTATTTTTCTTTAGTGTGGGGTGGGAAGGGGATAATCGAACATATGACTTTATGCTCGAACTTTCATAATTCAATTACACGGAGAATTGAACCTAATATCTATATTTCACCTCATACCATCCTTTCCCTTGAGCTACGACTCATGGGCACTCATCTTCATGCGTGTGTGATAACTGAATCTATTTATAGTATTTCAATTTGAACTTAATATTTCTGAAGAATGGCAACCATGAAAGCAAAACCAAGTATGATAAACACATAAATAATCAAGTATACAACGAGACAAGAGAACCAAATCAATTCAAATTATCACTCAAGACAGTTTATTAGAAAAAAAGAGTGTGAAATTATAACTCAAAGAATCAGCTCAACTTAAAAAAAATTGTCCGTCAACAAACCTTGGAAAATATATAGCACCGAGGAGACAAATTTTCTGGTGAATCCCCAATCCGATACTTGAAATATTGAATGTGAATCTCCATTGTCATCATCTTCGCATTCATCTTCTTCGCTAAGCAAGATGGTCTTCATCCCGAACGCGTTATTTTTTCATAAGAACACTATGCATTCTATGTTAACAAAGTGAACAATTGTGCGTTAGGAACTAAAAACGAGACTTGCATTTATAGTGATGTTCAAGAGATAATACCATGGGCTGGAAAAACAACCATGTAATACTTTGGGCCTAATTTCCGTAAGACGCACCTTGTTTTCATAGATGGTTTAGTGGGAAAATCAGCGCCCTTAATAAATACATTGCTTCTTTTGGGGGATTATTTTTATTTTTATCTAATTTATTTATTGTGAAAAATTATAGGGAGTAGGTAAATTGTATCTTTGATATGATTTCCATATAAGGGCAGATCTATCAAGGGGCTGTACTTGGCTTTAGCCTATTTTTTTCTTTTTTCTTTTTATAAAAAAATTTATTTGTACGAGAAAGAAATTACAAAACAAAGCCCATCGGGCAAGAGAACCCAAAGAGGTCGAAATAAAAGGGAGAGCAGACTAATAACGGCAAGTCAAACTCCCAAAAACTTTGAGAGGGCAACTCGTGCCCCAGCTTAGCAATCGCATCGGCGGTGAAATTAGCCTCCCTAAAAACATGCTGGAAGCGAATATGGCTGACAAAAGAAGAAAGGGACCAAATATCTTGAGTTATCTGAAGGATACTCCAAGGGGGGGTAGCTTTTTCGAGAATGCTATCAATGACGAGCTTAGAGTCACCTTCAATAATAATTTGATCCCAACCACGCTCAATAGCAGCAACAAGACCATCCCAAAGAGCAACACTTCCAGCCACATTTATGGAGTTTTCACCAATATTATTGGCACTAGATAACAAGACCTGACCATCACAATCCCGGATGACAAATCCTGTGAAAGCTTGAAAGTTCATGTGAGACTCATCAAAGTTAACTTTAATCTAGCCAGTAGGATGGGGGGTGCCATTTAATCATCATAGAAAAATCCTTATCTTTCTTGAGCCATGAATTTAGCTTCCAATAGTCGAAGCCCACGGTGGCCGCATCATGGATGCAGTTAGCAGGGAGGGGCTTCGAGTCTTGGAATAACAAATTGTTCCTAGCCTCCCAAATTTGCCAACAAATAAGGAGAGCCTTGGAGATAAGATCCAGCTCGGACTTGGGAGAATAAAGGCTTAGTGATAAGAGCCAAGTGTGCATGCTTTCTGACCGCTCCCGAAGGGGCTGGAGGTCATGCAAACAAGCCCAGACATCCCTAGCAAAGCAGCACTTCATAAAGAGGTGGTGGATTGTTTCAGAATGACTTTGATAGAATGGACAATCAGGGCTAATCTAAGGCATAAATTTGTGCAGTCTAGCTCTCACTTGAAGTCTTTTTTGGATAAGCAACCAGGCAAAAATTTTAACTTTCGGAGGAATATTTAGTTTCCACATTTTCTTTAGCAAGTCCGCTTGACGATGGGATATCTGGTCCTGTGTCTGAATATTGTAAGCACTTTTGATAGTGAAGAAACCATTGGGGTTGGGACCCCATATCAATTTATCCTATAGATTAGTTCTAGGCAAAGGAACATATAAGATTTTATCAATCAAATCCTCATCTAACACCTGAGCTAGTTTGATCTTGTCCCAAGAGTTATTTGTAATAAAGTCTGCAACTTTCATATCAAGATTTAAATAGCCTCTTTGGTGCTCGGGGATGAGGTCTAGGAGTGGGAAAGGCAAAACCCAATGGGAGGTCCAGAAAGGAATAGAACCACTATTACCCACATCCCACCTCAGACCCTTGCACAAAACCTATCTAGCTTCTAAAATAGATTTCCAAGCAACAAAATGGTTGGCTTTTTTCTTTAGATTAAAAAAAAGTTCATGTCTAAGATATTTTTGAGTAACCACATTAACCCACCAGTTTGATTCGTCGGTAATGCATTTCCACCCCAACTTTGCAAGAGCATCGAGATTAAAAAGCTTTACCATTTTCATACCTAGGCCACCTCGGTCTTTAGGCATACAGACATCCTTCCAAGCAACAAGATGAGTACCCTCCTTGCCCCAAAAGCAAGATCTGCAACACCTGTTCATCTCTTTAATCACCTGTGGGGGACACTTAAAACAAGATAAGACATGATTAGGCATACCATAAACATTTGATTTAAGGAGAGTCAACTTACCGGCTCTAGAAAGGGTGTTAGCTTTCCACCTAGCAAACTTAGATCGAATTCTGTCAATTAGCTTTCTTGCATTTTGGGGGTTCTTCCAAAAAATAATGTTGTGGATGCCTAAATACTTACCAATCGTGGACCTGTGTTGCATTTGGAAAATAGTACTAATATTGTTCTTGACACTTGAAAGAATTTTAGGGGGAAAATAAATTGAGGATTTATGGAAGTTTATGTGCTGGCCGAAGGCTTTAGAGAAAGCCTTAAGGACAGAGAGAATTTTTCTTGCCGCCATTGGTGTAGCTTTGGATAAAATTAGGCAATCTGCAAAGACTAAATTAGAGATTCTATAACCAAATGGGGAAGACAATAAGCTAACCTGGGTTCTAGTGGACTTAGTTAACTTATTGAGTTGCCTAATAAACGATTCCATGCAGAGAATAAAAAGATAAAGGGATAGGGGATCCCCTTGCCTAATCCCTCTGGACGGAATGAAAAAACCTTCCGTTTTGCCATTGAGGATAACCGAGAAAGAAGTCGTAAAGATACAGTTCATAACTTTGTCACACCAAAAGGCACTGAACCCAAACCTGAGTAAACAAGCTCTTATATAGTTCCAGTCTAAAAGGTCATAGCCTTTCTTGAGGTCTAATTTGAGTGCCATCGCTCCACAGGAACTTTTCTTCCTCTTAAAGTCACTAAATAATTCATGGGCAATTAAGATATTGTCAAAAATGGATCTCCCCGGGGCAAAAGCTCCTTGATTGGGAGAGATACACTTGGCAAGGATAGGCCTCAGTCGAGTAATGATGATCTTTGTGATAACCTTATAGGTCACATTACAAAGACTAATAGGTCTAAAGTGATCCACAATCTCTGGGTTATCATTCTTGGGGATAAAAGCAATATTGGTGTTGTTGATGGGGTTGAGAGGAAGATTGTTCAAAAAGAAATCCCTAACCAGGTGAATGAGAAGGTGCTTAGTCTCAGCCCAGTACTGATGGAAAAAATTGCATGTAAACCATCATGGCCAGGTGCTTTAAGTGCACCAATGCTTTTAACGGCTTCAAGCACTTCCAACTCAGAAACACTAGCCATGAGGACCGAGTTGTCCTCAGTGGAGATACACGGATCAATAATGCTGATGAAATCCTGAACACTAGCAGGAGCAATAGGATCAGATTGTGTAAAACACTTCCTAAAAGCCTCAACAAAGACAGTACCCAAAAGAGGCATATCAATCCAAGCACCACTATTATCTTTAATTCTATTGATGTGGTTTCGTTTCTTATGGATGGTGGCAAACGTTTGGAAGAACTTTGTGTTTTTATCCTCATGCTGTAGCCAGTTTGCCCTAGATCTTTGAGCATAGAAAATTTCTTCATTCTCAAGGAGGGATCTTAGGTTGAGGTTAAGTTCACTATTCTTATTAATGAGGAAAAATGAAGTAGGAGAGTTAGCAAGTTGGCTCTAGATTAAATTCAAATGTTCTTGGGTTTCTTTGAGTTTTTTAAATAAATTCCCAAAGATCTCATAATTCCAATTCCTTAACCCGGTTTTGAAGACATTACAGCTGCTAAAGAATTGTTGGGCCAAGTTTCCATCATAGGTTTGAGACCAAGACTGATTTACCACACGAGGGAAATTAGTGTGTGAAAGCCACATGGCCTCCATCCTAAAAACTTTTTGAGAATCAGTTCTGGGGGTAAAGCTAGCCAAAATAATAGGACCATGATCTGCTACAAATAGGAAGATTTAGTAACACATAGTTGGGAAACATGGTCAGCCACATGATTGGCTAAAACCCTGTCAAGCCTCTCAAAAATAATAGAATCATCCTTGTGCCATTGGACCAAGTGAAAGGAACACCTTAAGCTTAAATATATAAAGAAATGTAGTACAATTAAATATTAGCCTACTACCTCATAGCCACACATAGCACTTTTTTTTTCCTCAGCCAACTAAAGGGACAAGATCATGCAAACATAACTTACAAAAAGATTTAAAAAGGAAAAGTAAAACATTAGAACATTAAAATAACACAACTTACACTTTTTTCCCTACTCCATTATTGTTTGTGATTCGTCAAACTCAAATACAACATTAATATATTAGAACATCATTAAATTAATGGTACCAAGCTCTGAATCTTCCCCAATCTGCATGCAATCTAAGGTATTACCTCACCTTTATTTCTCAAGTTTCTGATCTTTATTCATTGGTTGTTTGTTTGCTAATTAATTGGCTCAAATTTGTAGTTCTACTTATTCGTGTGTTTTTTTTTTTCTGGGTTTGGTTGTACTTATATGTGTTAGTATTTGGAAAAAGAATTTCTAAATTTGACCAAACTATAGGCCTCATTCGCGTTTAGTTATGTTGTTTTGGGGCTTTAGCCCCATTACCCAAAAAAAAATCTAGACAATTTGAATTATTATATATTATATTATAGAAGAAGTCAAGAAAAAAAAATTGAGCCAGACCCTAAATAAATTCATGGTTCCGCCATTGTTTCCATACTACACAAAAAGCATGAATTCTTTTACATAATGCACACACACAAAATAAAAAGTGGACCTTATATATTCTTAATTTCACACACACAAAAAGGTTTTTTTTTTTCCCACAAATATCTTTTAGTTTATTGCAATAAATTAATCATGGGAACAAGATCTCATCAGCTAAAATTATATTTACACTTGGACAATAACATAGGAAAATGGACAAAACTACACCTAATGCCTGTTTGGCATTTCTTATTTGGGTTAATAAGTGATTTTAAAAAAAAAAATTGAAAGCCCAACCCGTTTGGTAATAAATATAAAAATCACTCTTTGATCTTAATTGCTGTCAGACAAATTAGTTTGGAGAAGTAGCTGCATAGCTACTTTCAATTTTGGATTTCTCGAAAATCAGTTTGGGAGTTTAATGAATTTTTCATAATATCAAAAATAGTCTTTAACAACTTTAGAATTTACATCATTTGTGCCTTTTATTTCTCTTCCTCTTCTCTGTTCACGTATCTTCTTCTTCGTTAATGTCTCTTGTGCTTCTTTTACAAGAAATTTGGGCACATGAAGAGATAATATAGAATATATATAAGAAATGGCTGGAAAAGAACAAGAGTAAAGGAACTAATAAACCAGATGCCACCAAGCGAGGAGAAAAATGATCATGGATCGAATGCATTAAGTAGCTAGTATTTCAGTTGGTTTTGTTTTCCTTTTTGAGCTAGTTTATGTAGTTTGCATTCTTTCCATAGCAAGGAAGTTATAATCATTCTATAGGATTATAAAATCAAACTTCAACTTGGAGTTTGATAAGTCTGTTTCGATTTTCTGCAATAAAGTTTGGTAGACAAAAAATTTGATTTGGTATATTAGTTCAACTACAAAGTTCTTAACAGTAGCATTATCGCATATACAAAATGGTCTGCATGGAGTGTGAAAGAATTTTCATGGAAAAGAAAAACAGTAAGGGAACACTTGACACAGAATACTTGGGAAATCGTTTAAAGCCAATTGCACACATTGGTTATTCTCTTAGGATCAACAAGGAAAATAAATAGACTGATGAGAAGCAAGAAAACAAGCATTATTTTGGACAATTTCAGTAGACTGAGAATGTTTTAAGTAAGATAAGAGGATCACACACTAAGGATTGAGAAAAGCAATGAAAATAAAGTTACTGAAGAGGCACAAGTTTGAGAATTGTTGGATTCATCTCAGAGTTATAAGACTCATTAGAAATCAAGAACA